TACTTTCCAAAACAGGGATAAACACCTGCAATCATAAGTAATAATTCATTCATTTGCGCACTTATTTATTAATACCTTTAAACTCAATCTAAAATAAATACTAACCTTATCGACCTCCCACCATGCAGGATAAAGTTTAGCTTGTCCATTGCCCAACGCAAATGATTCATCTCGTTGATTTTTCAAGTGAACGGCGTTAAAAGACGTCGGCATAATTGTATATCGTGTATTTCTTTTATTTTTCTTAAGTTTCCTAATTATTAGAAGACGTGACACCCACGCATCGATATACTGTTTTACAAAAAAAAACATATATTAGTGACTTACATAAATTTAAAAAAAATAATCAAATTGAAATATAAGAAAAATATAGGACTTACCCCTCCATCGAAATAGTCATTGTCTTCGACCCCTAATAATACGCCCCACCAAGACCGATCAAGCAACAAATAGATATCATCGTTGAGCTTGCATATGTCAGTGAAACACCCCTGGCTCCGCTCATGTAGATAAAAATCAACTGCGGTCTTAGTCCAAAGGGTGTTATCCAGAATTGTGTCCGGTAGTTGTCTTCTCTCCACTTCAAATACCGAAATGGTACTGGCCGGTAACTCATACGAGAGCCAACTCTCATCCATCATGTCCGGCACGTCAGAGGGTTTCTCAAGAATCTTACATATGACGCCATGTGAATCGGGCTCTTGAATGATGGGAGGGACCTCTTCAACGATGATAGTGGCCTCTTGAACGGTAGGAGGGGACTCTCGAGGAATGATAGGGGCCTCTTCAACGATAGGAGTGGACTCTTGAGGGATGACAGGCGAGTCGGGCTTCTTCTTGCGGTGTCTTCGCACTATTGGGGTGTACAGAGACTTAATAGCACGTGCACGCCGTCTGATGTGTGAACTCCGTCGTGCAAGAAAAACCCGACGTAAAGCATCCACCTTATCGGGCCGCTAAATAATTAAATACAAAAATCAGTAAATAAACATACATGATATTTAAACAGTGAAAACAAAGACAAATACTAACTTCACAGTGTTAAAGAATAAACAGTTTAGCAGTATTGGCAGCAACCGAATAAATTTACTAAGCAATCTAAGTGAAATGACTAATCTAAGTGAAATTACGAGTAAATTTATCATCAAGTTAAATATGGAAAATCTTAAACTTACCTCGTTGCGTAGAGTATGAACCTCATTCTACAACGATACTACCATCTCACGTAGAGCGGTAACCTCACCATGTAAAGTAGACACCTCCGCACGCCATGCACCATTGTTATCGCGTAGAGTACCGATCTCCTCACGCAAGGCATTAACCTCATCACGTAACTCCCTTGACTCATCCCGTGGAGGTGGAGAACAGGGAGATAGAAGTCGTGGCATCTTTTTCGGTTGCCTATCATGAGGTGATGGTGGAGAAGAGGCTCGATAATGTGACGGGATAGGTGATGGCTCTCGTTGTAGAGGTGTATAGTCGGGTCGATCAGGTGATGACTCTGGGTGAGGTGATGGCTCTCGAAGTGGAGGAAGTGGATGCTGCTCATCATTCGTGCCATAAAAAAAACGATGACTAGCTTGCCATCAATCAGTGGCAAGCTCAGCCTCCGTGGGTGTCAGTCTCTGTAATGGAGTGTTGGCCTCCTAAAAATATAAAAACTCAAACAAAGTTAAACGTCTACTATTAATAACTTGTTTATATATGATAGTATTTGTGTTAACTTACATTATTTATTGTCGCATATGATATTAAGTCTTCCCAATCCAACAGACGTTTCCTCTTCCAGGAAATAGCCCTAGGAATATCATTTGAAGTTTTTAATGCATATGTCTGCATGCTGGGGAAAGCCTCGAATATCCAAATCTACAAACAATATAATAACAAACATTAGTAATTATTAAATAATTAATTATAATTTTGAAAACATTATATATAAATTCTTACCTTAAAGGTCCAAACAAAGCCTGACAAAGTGTATTTCGACCCATCGCCACGCAAACTTTTGCGGTCATCAAAGGTAGACGACAACTTAGTCCAGGTAGCTTTCCATATATATGAACCCCACGGAAACATATTCCATGCATTTAGGTCGTTTACCGATAATATTAGCTCCTGAGGAATATGTTGTCTGGCCTCTCTGCCTAAAAAGCCGGCATACAAAAGAACTAGAAGGCATACTCGGACAACATCGACGTCATTCATCCGAGTAAAACCATCTTTCTTATTAAACAATTTCTTCAGGTCTTCGACGTGTAAGTTTGGCTTCTCTATTGACTCATCAGGAAAAACTCGGGATAACCATGATGGGCGGGTGATATGACGAGTGTACCGACCTACATCATCGTGTCCGAATCATAGACCAGTGATTGATCAGAACTCCTTCCGCCCAAAACAAGTATACGCCAATGGAAAATGAAACTATATCTCTTCCTCACCACGTTGTATACTGTCGGGTAGATCGCTAGTCATGGTCTGAAGCCACAAATGGGTCAAATTAGCATCTCCACCCGGATGCTGTACTCTCAGCCATGGCCCGAAGCAGGTTTCCTCAAACAATTTTCTTTGTGCAGGTGAAAGCTTCGAAGCAATTGTAGTGGCTAGGCTAACTTTATTCCTTAATGTCAATGAAGCCGAAAAAAATTTCTACAAAAACAATAAACATACCAAGTTAGATATACCAAAAACTACACTGTGAAGATATACAAAAAACAATAAACATAAAGAGTAGTAGTTTATTCTTGAAACTAAAATTTGTAACACTGTTTTGTCTTTTGGTTGAAATAAAAATCGAAACGAGAGAATGAAAATCGCAACGCGGAAATGATTATCGCAACGAGAGAATCGCAACGCGAAATGAAAATCGCAACGAGAGAATCGCAACGTGAAATGAAAATCGCAATGCGATTTTGGTTTCTCGTTGCGATTTTCTTTTCGCGTTGCGATTTTCATTTCTCGAGTTGCGATAGTCATTTTCGTGTTGCGATTTTCATTTTCATGTTGCGATTTTAAGTTTAGAAACTATTCTTCTTCTGCAAATTGAAACTTTAATGGATTGTATTACTTCAACCAAAAGACAAAACAAAGACAAATACTAACTTCACAGGGTTAAAGACTAAACAGTTTAGCAGTATTGGCAGCAATCGAATGAATTTAATAAGAAATCTAAGTGAAATGGTTAATCTATTATTGAAATTATCAGTAAACTTATCATCAATTTCAATATGAAAAACCTAAAATAATGCAAAAATTTCAAAATAAAAATAATTAAAAAAACTAACCCTCGGAGGTTGATTTTTCATTTTTGAATGATTGTGAGAGATTTCTTACCGTGAATGGTTGTGAGGGATTTCGCCGGAGATGGGGACGGAAATCTTCGGAGATAGAGACGGATTTCGCCGTAGAGAGTGAGAGATGGAGATGGGACTGAGTTGTGATTTTTTTAGGTTTTAAGTTATGAGTTGCGATTACGGGATATACTGTGGACGGTTCAGTGTTCCGATAATTAATATTCGTGTTTGGAATTTGAAAATAAAATACGCGTAGCGATTATAATGGCGCTTTAAAAATCGCGTTGTGATTTACGGATATGCGTTGCGATTTTACGTATTGTCGTTGCGATTTACGGATACGCATTGCGATTTACGTATTCTCGTTGCGATTTACAGATACGCGTTGCGATTTACATATTCTCGTTGCGATTTACGGATACGCGTTGCGATTTTACGGATACTCGTTGCGATAGTCAGAATCGCATTGCGATTTATATGTTCGCGTTGCGATTATGGAAAATCACAATGCGAATTTGTACTATCGCATTGCGATTCTTCATAATCGCGTTGCGATTCTGGGAACTGATTTGCGATTCTGGAGATCGCGTTGCGATTTTTATTTCGCATTGCGATTTTGTTGGTCATTTTGGCAAATCTAAAAAAAGTTGGTTAAAATCGTATATTATAAGACATTTTTGGTCGCTGAGGTTATTTTCTCTTATTTTATTTAAAAACAACTTAAACTACACATTTAGTCACCCAACTAATATTTTTGTTATGTTTTGATCACATTATTATTATTATTTTCAAAGATCATACAAAAAAGTTACATTTTAGTTCTATTTTGGTCACTTACTTTTAAAAAACTTACAGTGATATTGATATATCACCATAAAATAATTTCATATCATCATTGAAAAATAAAAAATATGTCAATAATTCTATTTATTTTTTAACAATGGGAGTTCAAATATGATCATTAGTCGTTGCATATGATTTTGATTAAAAAAATAGTTGAGTGATCAAAACAAAATTAAAATAATAGTTTTGTAATTAAATGTGTAATTTATCTTAAAATATAATAATTATGAACTCATTAAGTGATTTCATCAATACAAGAGAGTATTATTTTATCTCAATATCTTGAACTTGAATAGATATGTCTGAAGGATGTACATATATTTTTAATGACTAATGAAGAATTTTCAACATATATTGTTATATTTTTTTATTTCTTAAACTTAACTCAATTTTTTTTTGAAAATTTAACTCAATTTGATAATATTTTAATATATTCTTCTACGATTAGAACTATATTAGATATGACATAATCACGTAACATATCATTAATAAAATTAAATAAAATTGAAATTAAAATACGTTATCATAAAAAAAATTATCAAACATGATATGAATTTAAATATCACAAAATTTTATGTATGGAAAAAATCAGAAACATGTAAAAACATAAAACATTTTAAATATAATCATAGACGAACATGATATGAATTAACACCTATATACACGTAAAAGAATAAAATATGATGAGATTTGCACAAACACGTTCTACAAAGCAAATCGATATATGAATTTGGGGAACAAGCGATGATGAAATTCAAAGCTAGAAAAAAGAACCTCTATTAAGGTGAAATCTGGAAATGGGTTTCCGATTTTCCAGACTTTTTTTTGGATTGAAATCTCATTTGATTTGATTTTAATTTTTTCGATTTACCTTCCTTGTATATTTGTTGCATCAGAGAAAGGTACCTGAGAACCGAGTGTTACATTGGAGTCATCACTTTCGTCCGTCGCCGCCGTTTCTGTCGGCTCGACGGGGCTGGGATTGGACTCGACGGTTTCATTTGCCTTTTCCAAACCAATAAAGTTAGTTTTATCTTCCGATTCATCGATTTGTGACGAAGCCTCCTGAAGTTGTAATGAATATTCCAAGTTCCACAACACATCCCCCATGCTTGGCCGATCAACTCCGTATTCGGCCAAGCATTTCTCGGCGGCTTCTGCGAATTTCTTCAACGATCCTTCGCAGATCGTCCCTGCGATTTTGGGGTCAACGATTTGGTCGACCATACCTTTTTTATGCCACTGCATTGCCCAATCGGCCAAGCAAGCTTGATCCCTCGGCATCCCCGGGCAAATCACCGGTCTTGCGCATAAAACCTCGAAAAGAACCACTCCGAACGAGTAAACATCGGATTTTTCTGTCAGTTGTTGTCTACGAAAGTATTCGGGGTCAAGGTACCCGAAGCTGCCTTTCACTGCGGTACTAACATGGCCTTGGTCTAAGGCAGCCGCTTTAGAGAGCCCGAAATCGGACACTTTGGCGACGAAGTTTTCATCTAGAAGAATGTTCGTCGTCTTGACATCGCGGTGGATGATTCCCTGCGTCGCACCGGTGTGAAGATAATGCAACCCTCGAGCCGCACCGATGCAGATTTCGAGCCGTTGTTTCCATGTCAATGTCGGTTTATTCGCGGGACCATAAAGATGGTCCCGAAACGGACCATTAGCCATGTATTCATAAACCAAGATCATCTCCGAATCCTCGTCGCAGAACCCAATCAACGACACGAGATGCCGATGACGGAGCTTCGAGAGCATTGCGATTTCGGTTTCGAATTCGTTTATGCCCTGTTCGGATCCATGGTTGCCACGTTTTATCGCGACCTTGGTGTCGTCCTCTAATGTCCCGACGAACACTTTCCCGAACCCACCGACACCGATGACTGTCTGCTCGTTGAAATTCTGTGTCGCATTTTGTAGCTCGTTTAAAGTGAACAACTTTCCAAGGCCATGAGAATAAACACTTGACAATCCACTCTTGCTCTTTCTAGATCCAAAGGTGCTTGATTTCCTCGAGCTGTAATTAGCTTTACTTCCATGGATTGGTAATAGCCAAGCCGAGAAGTTCTTATTCTTTTGCCAATCTTGGGGCCGTTTTTTCCACCTAACACAAATGACCCCGAGGAAGAACATTGCCACAAACGCTAATGCTAGCCCCGAAATCGCCAGGATTTTAAGGTTGCTCGATTCTGGCCCTTTAAACAAACCATCGACCGTATATAAACCGTCGAAGCTATCAGCTAAGTTGCTCATCTTCATCACTTCCAAGCCGTTGAGTATCGCGTTAGGTTTGCCGCTGTCGGAGTCGGCGATCGGACCGACTTGAACCACGATCGAATCATTCGTTATTGATGATGCATTCAGGACGAAATCAGTGTAATACGCTGTGGCCAGATCGCCGACTTTCTCAGTTAAATCGAGACGCGAAATCCCCGTTAGCCCGTTTATGTACACACTGAAGTATAGCTCATTCTTGACCTTGCTTACAATGTCACAAAAGTGCATCCTGATGAGATACGAGTAGGTCCCGTCGACACTTATCGTCCAAGAGAGATTGAAATTAGGAACCGTGGTCTGAGCATACGCTTCGGACATCATCCGATCCGCCGTCTCATAAACCATCTCCGGGGCGACCAACCGAGTCATCTTATTTTCCGGTCGGTACTTGATGTTTTTACCCGTGACAGCCTCAGTTCCTTCGGGAAACGTGTTATATGGTACATCCGGAGCCCATGTTCTCCCCAATGTATCATTCTTTGGAGTGATCGTCGGCCCTCCCATATTCAACCGGTAGGCGACTTCCAAACCGATATTCGATAGGCCATTCATCGTGTTACCTTGCGGTACCGAGGAGGCCGAATCAGAGAGAAGCTCGTCGGGGATCCCTTCGATCTCCAATGCATTAATGAATGCGAAAGAATCCTTTTTGGGCTTGAAGACGATTGATAAATGTTTAGTAGCATTAACAAGATACTCCTTGAGAACCACCTTGGAATCATCCATGGAGAAATCTTGCAAGAGGACGTACTTGTCTGTTTGAACGGTGAAAATCGCCGTCTTGAGATCATATTTTTCGTGATGGAGCGGGTAAAAGTAGAGACGAACCCAATGTTTTCCGGGAACGGAAATGGAGAACAAAAACTTGGAATCTGACGTGAAAATCCTCGCCGCTTTATAAAGATCAATCAACGATGAAGGGGTGGAATTCGTGAAGGCACTCTCCGGTACCGAATCGGTTTTCGCTTGAACATCTTCATCGGTCGATAAATAGCTACTCGTTTCCGTATCCGATTTGAATATTCGTCCGTCGTCGAGCTTCACCTCGTTTGAACCGCAGCTGATGAGATAACTATCCGAAGGCTGATACAAACCCGGCGAAGAAACCGGAGAAACCGTCGAATAAGCCGCCGGTGCCGCCGCGGGAGTATAGACATTTTGGGCCGAAACAAGGCTTTCTTTCAACAAAAGAAGACATAACAAAAGGGAGGAGACATAAACAGCCCTTGTCGGCCTATGATGATCTCCCCCCATTGTTCAAACCAACGGCCACAAGCCGGCGTTTGACAAGCTGCCGACGGCAGAGGCGGCGACGACGAGGATAGAGGAAGGGGTGAGAATAAAAACAAAACCAATAAAAGAATTTGTACAAAACAAACAAAAATATTCAAGAAAATCGCCAAGGAGACAGACAGGCAAAAGGGTTGTCGTCGGTTTGAAACATGTAAGAAGGGAAGAACATAAACGTGCTAAGCTGTAATGCCTATGTTAATGAGGTTTTTTTAGGGTTGTCGTGTATCGATCGATGGTTGGAAGGAAGAAGAAGATGAGTAGGTTAAAGCATATTAGATTATAAAAGAACAAATCGCGAGGTTTGCGTTGGGCCATTGAAGCACCAAATCGTGTTGTGTCAATCTTTGCTTTAATAACAGTTTACGTTACCCACATTTAGAGGCGTTAATATACTCAAAAAATATATAATCAATTTATATATTTTATAGTAATTGTTTTATATAAATGTTTTAATAATTTAACAGCTAAATTTTGTGATATATTCATATAGGTTATGTATATTAAATGTAGAATGAATTAAAAAAATATCTAATTATTAAAAAAACCATTAGATATCAGTTATTAAAAAGTTTTGGAGATATGTAAAGCTTAATAAAAAAAAATTGACGCATGGAAAACCGATAATAGGGGTCTTCAAACGGTTAATTCTTCGATCAAATTGAATTATCATTAATTATATATTAACTGAACTTTTTTAACCGTTAACCGAACTAAACTTTTCTTTGAAAATATTAACCGAACTGAACAAAGTTCGATTATTTCGGTCGTTTAACCGAATTAATCAATTTTTTTATAATTATATTAATTTAAATATATTATACGTATATTTTTTATTTGAGTTACAAATTAATTAGATATTGATAATTTAATGAATCTAGTCTAATTAAAAAATAATCGGTATTAATTTTTAATGGGTTTGAGTTTAAAATAGGTTTATAATATATATAATATTTAATAATTTTGGTTAATTCGATTAATTAACCGATTCAAACCGAATTAACTGTTAATCAAATATTAAAAAAAATATTAACTATTCTCCAATCGAACTAATACGATAACTTACTGAATTAACCAAATTAATTCAATTAAAACCGAAATCACCACCAGCCGGTAAGTATTATTAAAGAAAGTCGCCAGCTGGAAACTAACAAACACAACTGACAACCAAGAGTCAAAATCAAGATCCAAAAAACAAAACAGAGAGAGAAACTAAAACAGCAAAAACTGGCAATCCCTAACCTTTGCTAAAAAAAGATTTCTCAATGAAAATAAAGCAAAGGGCACAAGACTTCCATCGAGCCTTCACGAGCAATCCACGAACCACATCCAGACTAGAGAGGTTCGAACCGACGCCCATCTTCCTCGGCTTGAAGCAGGACCCGCTCCGGTGAATCTTCAACCCAGTATTTGTCTTCATCGCCCGTCGTTGAGTTAGCAGCAATGTAACAACCCGGAAAAAAATAATATATAGTTATGATTAAGTAATTTAGTGAAATTTAGGGATTAAATTAAAAAAATTTAAAATATAGGCTATTTTAGAAGTAAAGAAAATTCAGGAACCAAACCCTGAGTTTACCCTTGGAGTATCGTCATAATATTTGTTATATATACGTGCAATTGGTTCTGTAAAACAGAAACCAATTGCTCAAATTACTCCTTCAGCACCCTACTTCCAAACCTGATTCCGACGTCGTTCGGCCACTGATCGTCGATTTGAAACCATCATCGTGTTCGTCTTCGACCGATGAACAAATCTCGTAAACCAATTGAAGTGAAACGTTGTCAAACGTCGTGAATTTCGATTCAAAGTTTCGATTTTTTTAGCACCACCGCCGGGAAAATCTTAAATTCATCGCCGATCGTTGCTCCGTTTTCGACGCCTCCCGCACCATCGTGTTCCTTGTGTCGTTTCGAGTCCTCCGGTGTCCTCTTTGTCTCCGTTGTCGCTGGCGCGTGAGGGATGTGAAGCAGTCGAAGTTTTCGACGTGTTGAAATTGAGCTCTCCGCCGTTCAAAATTTTGAACCGAGCTTGGTAAGTGTCTCAAAATCCCTTAAAATAATTTTAAGAAAATTTTCCGTGATTTTTAGGCAGCTATAGGCCACCGCACGCGCCCACATTGCGCGTGGGCTTTGTCTGGAGCATGTGGGTAGTTTCTTGAACCGGTTTGACTCGACCCGGTCTGACCCGACCCGACACGTTGACCGTTGACTTTGACCAAAAAGTCAAATTTTATGTTTTTCGACGTCCTGAGTCTGATTTCCAAATTCAAACCCGAAAGCCTCCAAATCGTTAGTCAAACCCGTTGACTTTTACTAAAAAGTCAAAATTTTTGAAATGTTATTTTTATGATTTTTGACGTCTTGAATATGATTCTGAAGTCCGTTTTGTCAAATTCTGACCCGAAATCCCCGAATCGAGCTCGTTAACCCAAAAATGCTAATTATTTATTTGAGATATGGTTATGTAATTGATCGAGTAAGATATTTTATGAAGGTACTCGTGTTTCACCTGATCGAGGATCCGTAGGGTTCTGTAAATTATTTAAATAAAGGTTAAGATTATTCATATTAGGATTCCAATATGAATTTTTTTCGATTCGTAGGATCTAGCGCTGCAGCAGAGCTTGATCGACAGACCCAGTAATAGGCTTCCCTATCTGATTTCTCAGACTGTTACAGGTGTTTTTCCTGACGATGTTACATTACTGTTTTAAAATATATATATTTGAATATTGTGTGATTGATATCTGATTTATTGCATATTTCTGATATGATTTCTGACGTTATTTTATACTGATTTCTGAATATTGATTATCCGACATCTGAATTACCGTATATTACTGATTTGACTTATGATTTACGTATTTCTGTAAATGATTTCCAAGCATGAATATTTTCATGTTTTAAAGAATTAATCATTGTTTTCACTCGAATACATTCATATTCATTTCTGTCATTGGGGGTATTATTGAAGGAAGTATATTTGCAGGTTCTTCGGTTTTGTGCTCAGGGCCTTACTGGTTGTGTGAGTTGGGTGTATGGTTCTGGGGAACCTACACAAACAAATTGTGAAAGGATTGGGGGTAGTGTTCATGTTTTCAAAACATGTTGCATAAACCGATTTTATTATTTTATTAGTATGTTTTTATACATTGTATGTAGCACACTGGGCTTTTTAGCTCATTTTGTAAATTTTACCCTTTTCAGATCACAGCAGACAGTAAACTAGCAGATATGGCATCAGGAGAGATCAACTACTTTTACTTTTGTATGACCGTGTATCTCGTGTTTTCAGTTGTATTTGGTGACATGTATTTTGCTATCATTTTTGGATATATTCGTATTACCGATATTTTGTTCCATAAATGTTTTATACGGTTTTCTGTAGTATTTTGATAAATATGTGTTTTATATGATTTTCTAAAATATGTGTTCAGAAACGTTATTTTAAATATAAAAGGAATTTCTGAATGCGATACGTAATCACCTAAACATAAACATAACGTTCAGCCCATGTTTAGGGGGTGACAAGCGAGTAGGTGGGCAGCTCTGTTGGCTTGTCTCGTTGTAAAGCAAAACTCCCATACATGCAAGTATCAAGCCCTATTCTTCGCTTCCCGGGTGAGTAAACCAACTTCCGATCTGTCAACGGACGACGATGAGATTTTGAGGACCACCGACCGTGCGTCTTCTTCAAAAACCAGACAACGGCAATCCAGATCGATAGCAAGCTCAATTGCATGAACGGCCGCCTGAGCTTCCGCCTCAAAAACAGAGATAATCTCCACAACCCTCCTTCGACATGCACCGAGAACAGCACCATTCTCATCCCTTATAACAAAGCCTGACCACGATATTCTTTGTTGTTGCATGTAACGGGAGTCGTAGTTCGCTTTGATAAAAGGCGCAGCGGGAGGCTTCCTAGTTCCTACGAGCCATGACCACCGGATGAGCAATAAAAGGAGATTTTGTCGCAGCCTCGTACTGCACAAGGAAATCCTTAAGAAAAGTTTGGAGCTCATTCAACCTCGTACGGTAGCCCTCATGATAAAGTTTGTTACGAGCATACCACAGGGACCATATAATAGTCATAATTCCACCATGTTTCGCGACTGAATATTGCTCAAACCACCAACTTAACCTCTCGATAATGTGATTACAAAATATTATCTATTCTAAATATTTTAACTTTTTTAACAATGAACGCTCAATCATCTTATTACACTTGTTGGTGTTTGAACTCGTATCGTATAGAAAGAATAACAATTCTTTTAACCACTAAGACAAGTTGATTCATATATATAACTTAAATAATTTTAAATAATGTTTATTAATAATAATTTTATATTTTCTTGGTTGAATACTATTATAAAATCAAACAAAATAAAATTATTCGATAAAATAAACAGTATGAAATTATTACAAAATAATATATATTTAAAATTATTACAAAATATATATTTAAAATTATTTTTAGTCTATTAACAACATACATGTCATGTACTCTACATATTCAATTAATCAAATTTAAAGCTTTTAATTTTTTTTTGAGGATTTAAAATATAATTTTTAAAATATATATATAAAATTAACATGTACATAAGCGGGTATTTTCACAATGGACTTTAGAATCCAAGTATATCTCTTTTTTCACTTCTGCTTAGGTTTATATAAGCCCGTAAAATGGTGAACGGGCCCCGTTTTCTTCCACGAAAGATTTATTTTTTTAATGAATATATGAAAGAAAAATTAAAAGCCTATTTGGTGATTAATCTCATATCATCTTCGAGCTTTGACGCCGTTTTCCAGGAAACAACCAGAAACATCGAGCATTTGCAAAATGGTGCTGCTTGTGCTTGCTAAAAGGCCTAAAAGAAAGGTTTGGATTCGCTTTTGGCTTTTTTTACGTTGTTGTTGTTGAATTAACTGTGGGTTTTAGCTCTTACCAGTTACTATCTTCC